AGAGAGCCCTTGGGTGCCCTCCCTGGACTTCCGACGGATTGTTTTTGTTCTCGACGCATGATCCCTGGACCATCCGACCCCTTCCCCAAGGCAAGCTGCTCATCCCGAATCCCTTGTTTAGGTCTCACCGTGCAAAAAAAAAACGTTCAGATAGAATCTGGCCCAAGACTTAGGTTGGGCCTGTCCCCCTACAGGGGGATTTTGGACGAACAATAAAAAATGCAAAAAAAACCCAAAAGATGCCCAAACATACTCCAAAAAAATAGTCCCCAGACTATTGTTTTACTATCTTTGAATATTCCCCTGTAGAGGGACAGGCCCGACTTACTCCTAGACCCCGGGGGGTCCCTCTCGACCGACTCTCCACCCCGAGCCGTTCTCTCACGGCCCCAGGGCCCGTGGAAGCTCCTGGGGCCACCCAGGCTGCGAAAAACGCTCCAGGGACCCCCCTCCCTCCATAACTCTTTTTCCTTCACTGAAGGGGCCCTGGGACACACAAATAAATACACACAACTAAAAAGATTCCCCATATTTTCAAATGTTTTCTGGGTTTCTGTCTTCCCCCCCCCACTTTACAGATTTTTACCTAACAGCGAAGACTGATAGGTTTCTAATGGTCTCAAAAGAAAGCATCTTGACTCCTCAGGGGGGTCTGGGCAGATGCCGGACGGGTGCCGGGGAGAATCCGCGGAAATCGTTTTAAGCAAACAGTTACACACTTCGAGGTCTTCGAGGTCCCAGAACTCCATTCCTGGGCATGTTTTTGAATGCCCGGAGCCAACCGTAGGCCACTTCGTGGTCTTCGAATTCCCAGAACTCCATTCCTGGGCATGATTTTGAATGCTCGGAGCCAACTGCAGGCCACTTCGTGGTCTTCGAGGTCCCAGAACTCCATTCCTGCGCATGATTTTGAATGCCCGGAGCCAACTGTAGGCCACTTCGTGGTCTTCGAATTCCCAGAACTCCATTCCTGGGCATGATTTTGAATGCCCGGAGCCAACTGTAGGCCACTTCGTGTTCTTCGAGATCCCAGAACTCCATGCCCGGGCCACATTCTAAATGCTGAGGCAGGGTGAGGCTGAGGCTGAGGCAGGCTGAGGCTGAGGCAGGCTGAGGCTGGTGGCGAGGCTGAAGGCAGACTGAGGCTGAGGCTGAAGCAGGCTGAGCTGAGGCTGAGGCAGGCTGAGGCTGAGGCTGAGGCTTGAGGCTGAGGCTGAGGCAGGCTGAGGCTGAGGCTGAGGCTGAGGCTGAGGCAGGCTGAGGCAGGCTGAGGCTGAGGCTGAGGAGGCTGAGGCAGGCAGGCTGCTGAGGCAGGCTGAGGCTGAGGCTGAGGCAGGCTGAGGCTGAGGCTGAGGCTGAGGCTGAGGCTGAGGCTGAGGCTGAGGCTGAGGAGGCTGAGGCTGAGGCTGAGGCTGAGAGGCTGAGGCTGAGGCTGAGGCAGGCTGAGGCTGAGGCCGAGGCTGAAGGCAGACTGAGGCTGAGGCTGAAGCAGGCTGAGGCTGAGGCTGAGGCAGGCTGAGGCTGAGGCTGAGGCAGGCTGATGCTGAGGCTGAGGCTGAGGCTGAGGCTGATGCAGGCTGAGGCTGAGGAGGCTGAGGCTGAGGCCGAGGCTGAAGGCAGACTGAGGCTGAGGCTGAAGCAGGCTGAGGCTGAGGCAGGCTGAGGCTGAGGCTGAGGCAGGCTGATGCTGAGGCTGAGGCTGAGGCTGAGGGACTGAGGCGAGGCAGGCTGAGGCTGAGGCTGAGGCAGGCTGAGGCTGAGGCTGAGGCTGATGCAGGCTGAGGCTGAGGCAGGCTGAGGCTGAGGCCGAGGCTGAAGGCAGACTGAGCTGAGGCTGAAGCAGGCTGAGGCTGAGGCTGAGGCAGGCTGAGGCTGAGGCAGGCTGAGGCTGAGGCTGAGGCAGGCTGAGGCTGAGGCTGTGACTGCGACTGCCGTTGCCACTGCGACTGTCATCGCGAATGCGACTGCGACTGCGAGAACAGCAGAATTCTACAACTGGATTCTCATCTGAGTCTTAAGGGGAATGCTTCCAGATATGCTCCTACACATCGCTGTTAGTTTGCTTTGCCAGGATAATCCGATTTTTTCCTGGGAATCGACGATTCATAGTGCCTGTGTTTTTGTCCCTCCTGATTCACGTGGAACTCTTTCGAAGAGAAAGAAGACCATCGACTTCACGCTTGTCTGGCGACGACATCAGCATGCGTCTTTTTTAGAGGCATTCCAGATGGTGTCGAAGTTGACGGGGTCAGAGGGTCGCGCCGCATCGGCGATGCATCGCCGATCCATCAGCGACGTCGGCGATGCAACGGCGACGTCTGCGGAGAGGAGATCGGCATCCGCATCGAACCGCATCGCCGATGCGGCGCGATCCCCCACCCCCCCCTTACTCCGTCTCCATCAGTACTGCGAACTGAAAGGTTAGGCGAACATTTCCTCCCGCCAGTTTTGGTAGCAAGCTGGGTTCCCGGGTTCCCGGTTCCAGGTTAACCGGTTCCCGGGTACTGGTTCCGGGCCGATTTCGGTGGGTTCTGGAGTCCCGGGCTCCCGGGTTCCCGGTCGATCTCCTCAGCGAGAACCATCCACCGATTGGGGTTCTTCTCTGGCGTCATGAACGTGCAAGCTTCGTGCGACAGGCGGAACCGCCTGTACATGAAAAGACGACACCAATCTCCCCAGGCCCCCGACGTCATGATTGTTTCATTACGTCGACCCATGGAGGTCTCGACCAATTCCCCTGGACCGGTTTTTCATCCTGAGTCGTTTTTTGACGGTCCCGAGGGCCGGTAAGGGCCCCCAGAGGCCGAAAACAACCAAAAACCTCCCGTCCTGATTTTTTCCTCACCCGAGGGGGGTCTGGGTCATTGGCACGCGTTCTCCCTCCCGGGCTGTGAGTCCCCAAAGTCACAGCACTGCCCAGCTGGCGCTTCCTCCGTGCCCCCTCCCTGGCCGTCTCTGGGCGCCTGCCTCTCCGGGAGCCCCCGGCATCCCACGGGCCCCCTGGGCGGAGGCGGTTTCGCACGGCTCCTCTTCCAGCCCCCGTCGTGCCTTCGGTGGGGGCTCGCCCCCTCCCCCCTGCCCGCCCCCACCCCCGTGGGTCTGGGAGGGAGGGGCTGGGAGGCGCTGGAGCGTCCAAGATGGCCCAAGCTGGATCCCAGACGGCCTCACAGAGCCCCGAATGTCCTCCAAGATAGCTCAAGACAGACGAAGATGGGTTCCAACATGCTACAGCCCGACACATATCCAGGACGGGTCAGATGCGGGCTCCCCAGGACGCGTCCAACAGGCCAACGTCCTTCAACCACGTCGAGGCAATGATTTCAGCCTTCTCTTCTTCGCTTCGAATGGCATTCCGAAGCCTCAAGATGGCCCAAGAGAAGCCTAAGTCGGACCCAAGATGGCCCCAAGAGAGCCCAAGAGCGCCCCCAAGAGGGCCACGGGCGATGCTAATGAAGCACCCCCCGTCTTTGATCAACAAGAACAATCAAACTACATAGTTTTGTTTGAGGATTTCGGCTGTTCGAATGCATCTTTGGAAAGCTTTGGGCCCAAGGGGGCTCCGAGAGGGCCCCACATGTGTTCAGATCGCCGCCAAGATGGCGCAAGATGGTCCAAACTTGCCAAGAATGGCCTCGAAAATGCTTCCAACAGGCCCAGTGATGGCCCCAAGCCAGGTCCAAGTAGCCACGAAGATTTCCACGGACGGTCCCAAGAGGCCCACATCTGTCCAGAACCTGATGGAAATCCATGTAATGTGTCTTCTCGCCTTTTTTTAATGTCGACTGGCCATCTGCGGCCTCAAGACGGTTCCAATATGGCCCAAGAGGGTCCGAAGAGAGCTTCAAGAGAGGTCCCAGAGGCGAGCTTAAGGGCTCCAGAAGGGCGGCGCCAATTTAGATTCTCCAAGACGGTCCCCAAGGCTCTCAGGAGGCCCCCACAAAGGCCCCAAGAGAGCTCTAAAGCCTTACAACATGGCTCCAAGACGGCTCCAAGAGTCACAAAGAGTGCCCAAAACAGCCCTCAAGATGGCTCCAGAGGAAGACGTCTCAAGTCCAAGATCAGCAACCCAAATCGGCGCCGCCCCCTCTTCCTCCTTTTCAGCCTTCTCATCGTCCAACCTTCTCCTCGTCCTCCTCCTCCTCCTCCTCCCACTCTTCCCACCAAGGGTTCACCAGAAGTTGAATGAAAGCATGCTCCATCGAACTAATATTCCTTGTGCCCGCGTTCCTCCTTCTCCTCCTCATCATCATCCTCCTTCTCCTCCCTCATTCTTCCTCCTCCTTCCTCCTCCTCTCCCTCTTCCCGCATCATCCTTGTCCTCCGCCCTTCCTCCTGGTTCTGATCAGGCTGATTCGGAACTTCGGTTGGACCCGCTCCCCAGCTCTCTGTTTGACTGCAAGCTCCCCCAATTCCCTGATCAAAGCAACTTGCCCGGGCATAATGTTTGGATGGACGAGTGGAGATACGCGAAGCGTCAAGACTTGTTGTTTCTCAATCCCGGCAACGTGTCTCCATATGGACTCAGCTTCTTCGTGAGACATAGAAAACGGATTTAGTCTCCCAAGCTGAATCAAACTCCGCGATCGGGATCAAACCTCTCGGTCCTGCACCGCATCCACCCTCCGCAGTGGGGGGATGCCCCGTGGATTCCCAGGACCAGACCTCTTCTCGTCATGGAAAAAGGGGGTGCCTCTTGCAGTGTTCGGACCGGGGGGGGGGCGACTGCCACGCCCCTGGGCCGTCAGCACAACGGCCAGGGACGGAGAGACGGGCCCATGCGAGGGGGGTCTGCCTCTGGGGTGTCCCGTCGTGGAGCAATACTGCCATCGGACATCCCCCGGAGGCGATGGATGTGGATACGTAACTATCTCTGCGCCCCCCCCCCAGTCCCAGAGGCATCCAGATCCACCGCCCTCCTGCTCACCCAGGACAGCGGCTCCCCCAAGTTCCCCCGGGCGGTGGCTCCGAGCATCCTTCCGGCCCGGTATGAGGGCGACCTTTTCTGCAGGGGGTCGGGCGCCTTTGGGCTGCTGCGCGGTCAGACGCGGCTGGCCTTGGCGAGGTCGCATCAGTACAACTTCCTGCAGCTCCAGGGTGTCTGGAACTCTATCGCATCCTCCTCGTGGACCCCCTGCTCGCAATCTGCCAAACAACTGCCAAAATCCGCAATCGTGCTGTAGGCGCTGGGTGGAGTGTCCTTACATCCCTTGGAGGTCTCTGCTCTGTGGATTGTACATGCTCTGAATGGCCCCAGAACCTGGAAGTCAAAGGCAGTTCTTGGCGTTCCCCAGGCTTGTCGCGTGACTTTCTTGGAAGCGTGGTAAGGTGGTCCATATTTCCCACGTGCCTATGGGACCGCGCAGGGGCTGTCGTGAGCCCCTTAGGGTCCAAGACACCCAAAAGAGGCCCAAGAGGCTTCGAGGAGGCTCCCAAGAGAGCCGCAGAGAGGAGGAATTCGAACTGCCATTCCGAGCCCTCCACACCAAGATGCCCCCAAGAAGCCCCTGGAGGCTTTCAAAACGCCCCAAGAGGCTCCCAGTAGGCCCAAAAGAAGCTCCACAATATGCCCCAATATGAGTCCAGGAAGCCTCTTGCCCACGACTCAGAAACAGTAGCGAGGTGGGCCGAAGGCCACTGGATCCGCCGCCCCCTGTGCTTGCCACAAGAGCGTTGGGCGCGCTTGGTTTCAACGCACATCATAGCCCTCCCAAGGAATTCCCGCCGGCTTGTGGCCAGTCCCACTGGCCAACTGTTGGCTTGACCACCGAAAACGGCTCCAAAAGGGTCCCCAACAGGGTCCAGGTCAGCATCAAGCTGGTGCAGGATTGCCAGAGCTGCCTCGTGGTAGGCCCAATAAAACTCCACGGGGGCCCATATCTGTTCCCCACGACGACACAAAAGGCCCCCAAAACGCTGCTGAAGGCTCCAAGCGGTCCTCCAATAGGGCCTATAGAGGCAATGACACTTGACTGTCTGTTGCCTTTGTTCGATGACTTTCGGATTCTCGCCTTTTCGGCCTCCACAGGACGCCGCTTTCGGATGATCGTCCCCAGACTGCCCGCGAGACGCCGTTCTCGAGAGCGCCCACGACATCCCAAGAGGCCCCCACGAGCACCCACGACGGCCCACACGGGCCCCGTCTCCAAGAGGGCCACACGACGCTCCAAGAGAGAGCCCCGAGGCGGCTCCAGAGCGCCCTAAGGCCACAAGGTGTCTGCTGAGGGCGCCAGGATGCCCCCAAGGAGGGCCAAGCGGCCAGACAAGATTTGTTTGCGCTCTTCTCCCAGCGCGCAAGATTCGTGTTGTCTTCGTTTCCCAAAGCAAAATGACACCACAAATGAGGAAAAAGACGCGTCTCAAATGCAACCTCTCTGTTGCACCATGCCGCGCACACCATGCCCCTGAACCCCTTTCAAAGCAGGGATCAACAGAACACGGGTGGCACTACATATGAGGAATAATGGCCAAACGGCCTGACAAGGGCCCCAAGACAACCCCAAGACTGCCCCAAACGGTCCTTCCCCGGATTTCCCCAGTGGTTTCCTCAGCGGCTGTGGGAACGGACAGTCCACTAGAACGGCTGGAAATTGCACCACACAAGCGTTTCCAAAAGGCAGGGGGGGGGGGCGGTGACTCGCCCGAGGCGCCTTCGATAGCTGTTCTTCTCGAAGCAGGAAGCGCCGGCGTCGGCGCAACACGTCTTCGCTGTGCAATCATCGCCCGCCTTCGCGCAATCGGGCTTCGGTGCAGGCAGTGGAATTGTCAAGTTGACAGGGGGGGCCCAGCCTGGCGAGCCGAAGTCGTCCCAGCGGTACCAATCCAGGTTGCTCGGCCGTTGGCTCCACTGGTCACCCAAGCAGCCCTCGCAGCCAAACTGCCAGACCTGGTAGCCTATGAATACCCCAGAGCTGTTCAAGGAGTCGAGGTACTCGTACATTGCCGTCTGGCACTTCGCAGCAGTACCATCGTCGGCCTCGAAAGAGCCAATCTCTGTCATCATCAATTTCTTGCCGTACTTTTTCGCCCACTCAACGGTTTTCGGCAGGCCCCAGTTAGCACCATTGCAGCCGACGGTTTTGCCGTCGATTGTCTGGCCGCACCACTTGTTGGACCAATGTCCTTCGCATCCAGTCTCGACTCCACCGAATGTGAGGTCCATATATTGGTGCACATCGTACGCCAAATTTTCTGCTGGGTCCTCGATCGCAGCGAGGCGGGTGTTACCGGCGCGGTGCGTACCGTCGATATCCTCGCCCCAACGGAACTCTTCCCCCCAAGACGAAGCCCCCGTCCAATCAATATTTCCGGTCCAGTGAAGACCAGGCACCAGCACGAGGTTTGTTGAACCGACCTCGCGAATCTTCAGCAAGGCTGCCTGACACCACATTCGCCACGTTTCTATTGTAACCCCATCGAAATCAGGCGTGTTTGGGTCGAAGTAGTTGGCCTGGCCGTTGGCGAACCCGAAGCGGGGCTCGTTGTACAGCCCGAAGATGGCCATGGGGTTGCTGCCCCACTTCTCCGCAATGGCCCCCCAGAGGCTCACGAAATCGCCCAGCCGAGCATCCTTCCCATTGTATTGCAAGCCTTGGTCGTTGTTGTGGGGGTCTATGATTACGTAGGCGCCAAGCTTCTCGGTTATGAATTCGACAGTGTCGGCGACCCCGGGCACGAGGTCGAGGGTGCTGGCCCCCAGGCTGGACTGCAGCCTCTCCCAGATGATGGGCAGTCGGAAGCAGTTGGCCCCCTGGCGGCGGAAATACAGAATGTGGGCCAGGTCCGGCGCCGTATAGTGACCGTCCCTGCCACCGTGCGCGTCGAGGTCAAACCCAACGGCGTTGATCCCCACGCACCACATGCCCTCTGGGCCGCCATAGTTCTTGGTGTACAGCTTCGCGACGACGTCGTCTATAGCGCCTTGAGCGCAGCTCTTGCGAGGCTCCAGCCAGCGGGGGAAGTGGCTGCGGCTCCTGCTGCTCGTGCTCACGCTGCTGCACGTGCTGATTGTCCTCCCTCCCTCCCCCTCTGCCCGCACAGCCACTTTCCCCGCTCGCAGAAGGCCCTGAACAAAAACACCTCTGGGGCGCGCCTGGCATGCTCCCCTGGACATGCGCCACTGCACGGGCCCGCTGAAGCAGGGCGGCCTCCGCGGGTTCCTCTTGGGCATGGAATAAGCAGGTCCTGACAGAAACGGGTTCTAGAACCTCCCTCCCGGATCAGCATCTCATCTCGAGCCTCTCTCCGAGGGCCCTCATGCCCGTAGAGGGCCCCGAAGGCTCGGGAACGGGGAAGAGCCTCAGGACCTGTTTCCCTCTGGACCCGCTCGCCGCGTAAGGGAACAGGAACATAGCCATACCGCTGCTCCGCGGACCTCTCCCAAGGCGCGGCCTGACCAGAATCCCGAAAGGAACCCACCGTGGCGACGAAAGCTCGCCAGGACGAGCAGCGCCATCGGCATACGGCAATGTCGTGTCGAGCCGACTTCGGCGCTGGCTTCTGAGACCGCGGGGATCGTTCAAGCTTGCACGATCGGCCGCTTCCGCATCGCCCATGCGTTCAGCATCGACCGCTTCTGGGCCGCCAGCGGCGCTCGGCGCTGAATGCTGGCGGCGAGGTCCCCGCTGGCCGTCGCGACGCGCACCCCCTCCACGGAGCTCGCTCCACGGCGATCCTCCGCGGCGCACGCCCCCGAGGGCGCCGGCTCCCGCTCCGGCGCCCGCGCCAGCGCCCGCCGGGGCGCCAGGCACAGCGCCAGCGGAAGCGCGGCGAGCGGCAGCGGGTGCCACATGGCCGGGGCTCGGGCTGGCCACCACGCCGAAGGGCCTGGGCCGAGAGGTCTGGGGCCGAGAGGCACGGGGCCGAGGCTTGTGTCGAGCGGCTACGGGTCATGATGCTGCCGATGTTGGCTAGCGTGCGATGAGGAGAACGAGGGACAGAGTGATAAGGAGAAGAGTCGAGGGATGAGGAAGAAGAGGAGGAAGAGGAAAAGGAAGGAAGATTGAGGAGGGAGGAAGGAGGATGGAGCAGGAGGGAGGAGGAGTAGTGGGAAGGCGAGAAATCTGAAGAAATATAGCCGGACTGCAGTATCCCCAAACAGGGTTTTTAGACCCACTGCGGTTTCCAAGGTCGATTGCGTGCCCGCCTAGTGCGGGCTGGCATGGCATGTTAAAACATGCCTCCTCCTCCTCCTCCTCCTCGTCCACCTCCTCTTCATCCCGAAAGGCATCTCGGAACACAGAGTTGCGAGGATGTCTCCAGCGTAACGGGCTGGACCACCTCGCGCGCGGCATTTCGGACCCCAGAGTTGCGACGATGTCTCGGGCGAAACGTGCTGCGAGGAAGTCTCAGGCGAAACGGGCCGGACCACCTCGAGCGCGGCGTCTCAGAGCTCCGAGTTGCGGGGGCCTCCTGGTGCCTCCTGGGGCCTCCTGGGGACCTCCTGGGGCTTCCTCCCGGGCCTCCTGTGGCCTCCTGAACTCCACCTGAGGTTTCCTGAAGCATCTTGGGGCTCCCAGGGGGGATATCTAACCTGTGGCCGTTTGGGCCTCTCCAAATACAGGGGGGGGCCACAGGAGCAGGAAAAATCAACGAATCGACACCGGATGTGTATTAACTTGACACGTTCTGATAGAGGGCCTCCTGGGGCCTCCTGGGAGCCTCCTGGGAATCTCCTGCGGACCCCTGGGGCCTGTCCTGGGCGTCCTGCGGCCTCCTGAAGCTCTCTGGGACCTCCCCCTCCTCCTGCCTGCTCCCTCATGCACATCATCCGCCTCCTCCTTCTCCCTTCCATCTCCTCCTCCTCCTCCTCCTCCTCCTCCTCCTCCTCCTCCACCTCCTCTTCATCGCGAACGGCATTTCGGAGCCTAGAGTTGCGAGGATGTCTCCAGCGTAACGGGCTGGACCACCTCGCGCGCGGCATCTCGGACCCCAGAGTTGCGACGATGTCTCGGGCGAAACGTGCTGCGAGGAAGTCTCAGGCGAAACGGGCTGGACCACCTCGAGCGCGGCGTCTCAGAGCTCCGAGTTGCGGGGGCCTCCTGGTGCCTCCTGGGGCCTCCTGGGGACCTCCTGGAGCTTCCTCCTGGGCCTCCTGTGGCCTCGTGAACTCCACCTGGGGTTTCCTGAAGCCTCTTGGGGCTCCCAGGGGGGATATCTAACCTGTGGCCGTTTGGGCCTCTCCAAATGGAGGGGGGGGGGGGCACAAGAGCAGGAAAAATCAACGAATCGACACCGGATGTGTATTAACTTGACACGTTCTGATAAGCGGCCTCCTGGGGCCTCCTGGGAGCCTCCTGGGAATCTCCTGGAGACCCCTGGGGCCTGTCCTGGGCGTCCTGCGGCCTCCTGGTGCCTCCTGGGCCTCCTGGGGACCTCCTGGAGCTTCCTCCTGGGCCTCCTGTGGCCTCCTGAACTCCACCTGAGGTTTCCTGAAGCATCTTGGGGCTCCCAGGGGGGATATCTAACCTGTGGCCGCTTGGGCCTCTCCAAATGGAGGGGGGGGCACAAGAGCAGGAAAAATCAACGAATCGACACCGGATGTGTATTAACTTGACACGTTCTGATAGAGGGCCTCCTGGGGCCTCCTGGGAATCTCCTGGGGGCCCCTGGGGCCTGTCCTGGGCGTCCTGCGGCCTCCTGGACCTCTCTGGGGCCTCCTGAGGCTCGCAGGGTCCCATGGAGGATATGTAACATGTGGCCTTCTGGGCCCCCAGGCTGGACCACCTCTTGCGCAGCATCTGAGAGCTCAGAGTTGCGAGAATATCTTGTGCGAAACAGGCCGGACCACCTTGCGCACGGCATCTCAGATCTCAGAGTTGCAAGGATTTCTCAGGCGAGACGGGCCGGACCACCTCGCGCAGGTCATCTCAGAGCTCAGAAGTTCGAGGATGTCTCAGGCGAAACGGGCCGGACCACCTCGCGCGCGGCATCGGGGAGATCAAAGTTTCGAGGATGTCTCAGGCGAAATGGGCCGGACCACCTCGCGCGCGGCATCTTGGAGCTCAGAGTTGCGAGGATGTCTCAGGCGAAACGGCCCGGACCACCTCTCGCGCGGCATCTGGGAGTCAGAGTTTCGAGGATGTCTCAAGCGAAACGGCCCGGACCACCTCTCGCGCGGCCTCTCATAGCTCAGATTTAGGAGGATGTCTCAGGCGAAACGCTCAATCCCGGACAACTCAGAAACGAGAGTTGTGAGGATGTCTCAGGCGAAACGGGCCGGACCACCACATTTGTTTGAGGATGTCTCTGCTTAGCTTTCCCTCGGCCGGAATTAGCTTCTATCACAACAGCACCCCGTTCAGCAAGCTGTTTGGGGAAAAATGACAAAGGATGGGAATGGGGGAGAAGGTGGAGCAGGGGGCGGCAGAGAGAAGCGGTGAGGAGGAGGAGGAGGAGGAGGAGGAGGAGGAGGGGGAGGAGGAGGGGGAAAAAGGACGAGGAGGAGGCTCAGCAGAGTGACGAAGGGGGCGGAGGAACCCCAGCGCAGTCCAAGAAGCATGCAATGCCACCTAGACAGAGGAGGAGGGTGATGGGACAGAGGGGGAGGAGGAGGAGGAATAAGGATAAGTGAGCGGGCCCTGGGACACACAAATAAATACAGACAAATAACAAGATTTCCAGTATTTTCCCATGTGTTCGGGGTTTTCGTCGTCCCCCGCACTTCCCATATTTTCCCATATGTTCGAAGAAATCCACGATAAATTGCGTCTGTGTGTTTTTTCCCTCCTGAGAGGAGGGTGATGAGACAGAGGGGGAGGGGGAGGAGGAGGAATAAGGATAACATTGGAAGGGTGGCGCTATCATTTGAAGGTGGTCGTGCCAGCGGCACGCGGGGGCATTTCAGACCTCCTGTCTGGCATCATGCTGTTTGCTTTTCAGAGAAGAGAAGAGAAGGCCACCCCCTTCCGAAACCAATGTCGAACCATCGTCCTGCTGCTTTGCTCCCCGTGCCCTTGCCGCACCTCGATGACTCCAGGAGGTCCAACATATTGCCCACATAATACATGCAGGACACCCCAAGACCCTCCAAAGGCGACCCACCGAGCCTCCGAAGGCTCAAGTATCGCCCCAATCTGCCTCGATTGACCCAAATACGTCTCCAAAATGCGTACCAAAACGACACCCCAAAAGTCGGAACATCTTGGAGGTGGGGGTGGGGAAATCAAAAAGATCATTGTGTTGCGCCCGGCACTTTTCGGCTCCAGATTGAGGTTCAGACAGCCCCAAGAAGCAGAGACACCTTAAGAAGCCCCCAAAACACTGTTCAATACAACCCCAAGAGATGTCAGAAACGGCCCCAAAACGGCCTCATGGCCTTCGTGGGCGTCCCAAAAATGGTTCAACCGAGTTTTTTGTGGAGAGTTCTGTGGAACCATCACGCCCAAAACAACCCCGAAACCCCTGAGGAGGCCCTAGCGGGCCCCCATGATGCCCCACGAAGCCACAAGATAACCGAACAAACACTCCACATAACTCCCCCAGTAAACCACAAATATGGTTTCCGGAATGAGGGCGGGGGAGGGGGAGGAGAAACAAAAAACAGGAGAATGAGTCTTCAGACAAACCAGGGGTTTAAATTAGCCTGGCGAAGGACCCAACCATATGCAACTGTGAATACCGCAAGTGTGAATATCGTTCTCGGCGGCGCTACCTCTGGGTAGTGGAGACGCATGCGAACACCCCCACTGGGGCCTTCGGTGGAGCTCCCTCTGGGGCTACGAAGCGCTGCCCTGGGTGGGGGAACCGCATGCAGGCAGCCCCACTGGGGCCTTCGGTGGAGCTCCCTGTGAGGCTACGAAACGCTGCCCTGGGTGGGGGAACCGCATGCGGGCACCCCCACTGGGGCATACGGTGGAGCTCCCTCTGGGGCTACGAACGCTGCCCTGGGTGGGGGAACCGCATGCAGGCAGCCCCACTGGGGCCTTCGGTGGAGCTCCCTGTGGGCTACGAAACGCTGCCCTGGGTGGGGGAACCGCATGCGGGCACCCCCACTGGGGCCTACGGTGGAGCTCCCTCTGGGGCTACGAAACGCTGCCCTGGGTGGGGGAACCGCATGAGGGCAGCCCCACTGGGGCCTACGGTGGAGCTCCCTATGGGGCTACGGGCTGCCCTGGGTACGAAACGCTGCCCTGGCTGTGGGGGGGAACCGCATGTGGACACCCCCACTGGGGCCTTCGGTGGAGCTCCCTCTGGGGCTACGAAACGCTGCCCTGGGTGGGGAACCGCATGTGGACACCCCCACTGGGGCCTTCGGTGGAGCTCCCTATGGGGCTACGAAACGCTGCCCTGGGTGGGGGAACCGCATGGACACCCCCACTGGGGCCTTCGGTGGAGCTCCCTATGGGGCCACGAAACGCTGCCCTGGGTGGGGGAACCGCATGTGGACACCCCCACTGGGGCCTTCGGTGGAGCTCCCTATGGGGCTACGAAACGCTGCCCTGGGTGGGGGAACCGCATGTGGACACCCCCACTGGGGCCTTCGGTGGAGCTCCCTATGGGGCTACGAAACGCTGCCCTGGGTGGGGGAACCGCATGTGGACACCCCCACTGGGGCCTTCGGTGGAGCTCCCTATGGGGCCACGAAACGCTGCCCTGGGTGGGGGAACCGCATGTGGACACCCCCACTGGGGCCTTCGGTGGAGCTCCCTATGGGGCTACGAAACGCTGCCCTGGGTGGGGGAACCGCATGCGACACCCCCACTGGGGCCTTCGGTGGAGCTCCCTATGGGGCCACGAAACGCTGCCCTGGGTGGGGGAACCGCATGTGGACACCCCCACTGGGGCCTTCGGTGGAGCTCCCTATGGGGCTACGAAACGCTGCCCTGGGTGGGGGAACCGCATGTGGACACCCCCACTGGGGCCTTCGGTGGAGCTCCCTATGGGGCCACGAAACGCTGCCCTGGGTGGGGGAACCGCATGT